TTCTTGCCCTCCCTTTCCTCTAATAGGAAGCAAGAGGACCAAGACAGAAGGGCCAAGACCCTCAAATAAGAGAACTACAGCCATTTGTCCAAAACTCAGGAGCTATTACCTAGTTTGACAGTCCCGCTTCACAACTTAGCTAGAGTATAATTGTGTATGCCATTTTGTTGTCTAACCAAACAGATTTTTATCAAACAGGGGAAAAAAATAAAAAAATCTTATTTCACCTTCTCTTCTAGAAAAGACAGTAGCTTTCTGTGCTTCCTTTTCCTCTCACAGCTGTTAGAACTAAACTAGATCCTCTTCTAATCACATCTCAGGTCTGGATCAAGATACTATTTTGTTAGAACAATTTTTCACTGAAGTCCAGTTTGCATTTCAGTACCTCAGACTTTAGAAATTAAGCTAAAAAAGTCTCTGCTAATACCTGGGCATATCAGTCATCCAGTTATTTCACTCTTGTTTTAGTCAGTGTTTTGAGAATCAGAACAGAAACCCCAACTCTCCAGCTTTGGAGACTTTACTAGTAAATCTATCCAGGTACACATGGACTGTGTCACCCTACATTTGAGCAGGCACAATCATCACTCGCTAGTTATGGCACAGCAACAAAAAAAGAAAGTAAGCCTGCATTATGTGTTACTTAGTCTAGACACTTGATCTATTACTGCACAACAAAATTTTACCATTGCTTTAAGACTAACTCTAGGTTTATTCTGCACATTGTCACATACTTCCCCCACCTTATTCACACCCCCCTTCCCTCTCATTTGTGAGATACAGGCTCCCCGACCATGTCTACACTGTGTCACTTCAAAGCTTCCAACTCCTCGGTTGCACTATCACAAATGCAGTAAGCCAGCTACTCATTTCCAGACTGATTAAAATAATGGACAAAGAAACAATGCTTGCATTGAAGTTATGAAATTCTTACTAGCACTCAAAATAAACATAACTTTACTGTTAACAGCACTAAGAACTGTACAAATCCAGCCATCAGTTATTAAATTTAATGCTTGACTATGCTTCCCCCTGTCAAGCTGCATGATACAAATTCCCAGTTATATACTGTCTGATTTTACTGTCAGTCAGACAAAGTTCTGCTAAAGCCAGGATAGATAAAGGGATCTGGTTTTAACTCGCTTGTGAGAAACTTAAGATCAGAGCAGAAAAAGCTCTCTAAGCAAGCAAATGGAAGGTAGTTAAAAATACTACAAGACTAAAAAGTTGATGTTGTAACACTGCTAGCACAGATTAATGCTTACTACTAGTCCTAAGCAGAACACTCAGTTGAAATAAGAAGGTCTGGCTATAAAAAGAGATGCCACAGTTGTCAGGTACTGTTAAAGTTACACTTTGATTTCCTGTATTCTCCTCGGTGAGCTTCACATTTAAGGCTCAAGGTAAGCAAGTCACAGAAAGACAAAAATAAATCAATAAACATGTAACTATTTGACTTTCATCTCCCTGCCAGAAAATGGTGGCACAGGCAGTAGCATTTAAAAAAGCCTGGGAAGAGTTCATCGAGGAACTAGTTATTTGCCAATTAAGCTAATCATTTATATAAATACGCTGTTTTAGAGAGTACCAATAGTATTCTCTAAATAGTGTTTTAGAGGTTCCAATAACACAGCACTGACAACAGTAATTAAACAACAATTTGGAGACACTGTACCAGCACAATTTAGCAGTAGCCATTGAAATACATTATTTTTTATTAGAAACAAATATTAAGCACTCATATACAGAGGAAAAAAACCACACGGTTCTAGGTTTGTTTATTGTGTGTGTGTCCCCCACTTGCTGGAAGATTTCTATGGCTTTGAGAGTTGAGAAGCCTCATCATACAGACAGCAGAAGCAAGTAAGTTACCACTACTGTTGAGAATTAATAGGATTAATAGCCTTACCTAGCACTAGAAATTAAAGTGTCTGAAGCCTTCGGCCACAAAAGCTGACCAAGAGTAAACTTCCTGATAAAACTAGTTACAGATACAAAACTAGCTGAAACCAGCAAATGGATGCAGAATAAAGGAAAAAAGGACCAAAGAAACAATTCCAAAGGAATGATGTAACTTCAGAAGGCAGCCAGCCCAGTGACCAAGAAATCCAGTAAGAAATCAAGAGACCACTGACCAGAATTAAGTAACTAGACACAGAGATCAGGTGATGGTGGTATGTTCCAGGAAACATATTTGTAAGGGTATAATTGGGGTGCATGACCTGCAGTAGGGGTCCCACTTTGGGAGCACCAAGCTCAAGCCGCTCTGCATGTCAGCTAAATAAGTCACTTATTTACTCAGCAGATTGGTAACTTGTCTTTTTTGAGCATGAATTTAGGGCCAAGCCCTGCTGAGGTGGCATCTGTGTAATTCTTAACATGGACTAGGTGGCAGCTACATAATTCCTGCAACAATTACCATACCTATAGCTTTCTTTCACAAAGAATTTTTTAGCTCATCAACTCAGACTTACTTTGTTTTTATTCTATTCATCTGCAAGTAATTTCTCTTTAGCAGGAACACCTGGAATAGAGGAAGAGAGAGTCAGCTTCTTGGTTTATCTTGTTAAAAAGAAAGTGTGTGCCAGTATGCTATCATTCCATTTTTTCTCAGCTTCAGTTACAGGAAGAGGAGAATGTAAAACTGATACTAGATCACTTATACTGTATATTGTTATTTAAAAGTAGAAGTAGTAATAACGAAAAAATAGTAACGACAGCATAAGCCTATTCATTTATCAAAAAAAAAAAAAAAAGCAGCATTAAGTCTAAGTAAAGTCTAAATCAAGTTCCCTTTAGATTTCTTTAATTAAGCTCTCAGTACACACCTCTACAAACAGAGATAGCTGAAATAGAGTATTGGAACCTGCAAAATTAAATTTTAAACAAACCAAGCAATTTTGGTTTTATTCCGTCTAATAAAAGCATCTCCCTCTAAACAGAAAAAATTAAAACCACTCTTGAAAGCAAGAACTACCTTTTCTTTAACACTAGGCTATGAAGGCAAGGATTACATTACCATTCCCACAACAGAAAGAAAAATAGTTTTTCGGAACACAAATGATTTAAGCATCAAACCCCTCCATAATTTCCCCAGTTCAGTCTACTAATTAACAAAACAGAACTTCTCAGAGACCAGAAGCTTAAGCCAGTACCTCAGAACTAAAGCAACACAAGCACTGTGTGTATGAGCCATCCCCCTAGCCTCCCCGTTTATGTGCACCCACCCACACTGATGAGCTGCAGCTGCCCTGCGTGTTTAAATTCAGAGGGATCACCTGCTGTCACTTTAGCAGAGAAGTTGGGATGACATAGTAGAGCTGAGACCCCTGACTCTCAGGGATTTCTTTTAGCCTTACTGGCTGATCGCAGGCTGCTTGTGTGAGAGCAGTGCACAGATAAAGAAAATGACAACTTAGTGATAACTCTAAGTTTGCTACACACAGAGGGAAATAGAGATATGAGCAAGAGAAATCAAAATTCTCCAATGGATTTGGAAATATGTCATATGAACAGCGCAGCCTTTTTCACTTGAAGGCCACTAAGTGATTAGTAAACTGATTTACAGCACTGAAAATTGTTATTAACCTGATGTTTAAAAATATGCTGCCAGACTACTGTACACTTAAAAAGTTTATCACGTAGCGATGCCCTCACACCCACCTAAGTTATACAGACCTTACATCAGCTGGAAAGTATATTTTTCAACCCACTTTATACCACTTTTAAACCAAACAAAGATATAACAAAAGCAAGGTAATGCAGTAAATTAATATCAGGGGTTTAGTACAGAAGTTTTGCAAATATTGGACTTCCCTGGTACAACTATCTCTTCCTGGTCCCATTTCACTTGGAAAAAAACAAAAACAAAAACAAAAAACATGAAAACGACCTACTTCAGATCTCATTTTCTTTACTAAAGCAACTAAACAATTAAGCAGCATACAACATGGTGCCAATGATTTAGCAGAGCAAGTGAAAAATTGCTCTGACTACCACCTTTGCAGAAATACTAATGAGGGCAAATATTACAAGGCAAAGTGCCTTTTTTTGTAACGGACTGTTTAATAGATTTAAGATTAGAACTGCAATTAAAAAAAAAAAAAAGGCAACAAATTTGGCAGGTATAACACTCCTTTGAGTCTGCAACAGAAAATCAGAGTAAGTGCATTCTGGACTTCGCAAGCTGTATGAATTTATTGAGTAAAAATAATTTCCTTTCCTTACAGTCTTGTGTCTCATATTCCCGTGCGGTACAAGCAAAACCACCATTGCGTATTTGGAGTTTCATGCTCCTCTGCAGCTACCACAGGATGTCCTCAGGAAGAAAGGATGAGGAATACAAACGGCCTGCTAGGACAGCGGCCGGGATCCTTATTTATCTAAATATCCGGATGTTTTCTCTGTGGGCCAGAGGGGCGAGCGCACTGCCCGCGCCCCGACGCGGGACAAGCAGCCGAAGCGGCCCGGTCCGAGGGCCGCGGCCGTACCGCGGGACGCCTCCCCGCCCCCCCGCCACGGACCTGCAGGGTCTGTATACCATGACATCACCAGGTGCCGCTCACGACGTCACTAACCTGGCACCGCGGACTCTGTGGTGGCCGCATGTGCGCAGGTGCCACCGCCACCACCCCGCAGCCCAGCGCCCGGTGTTACGTCAGCAAGTCAGCCCCTCACCACGTCGTGCTGTGACATCACTTGCGGGCAGCCTGACGTCAGCAGTCTTTCTTTCCCCCCGCCTCCGCTGCTGGCGGGAGGAGCCTCCCCACCACCCTCAGCCACCCCGCGCGCCACCTGGCCAATCAGCGAGGCGCTTGCAGCGCGCCTCGCCTCGGCCAATGGCGGGGACGCTTACAGCCAGCCGCTGCGCGCCGGCGCGGGGTTTGACCCCCGGCGGGGCTGTCGTCCCATTGGCCCGCGGGTGATTGGTGAGCGGCGCGGTGCGCGCGGGGGGGGGGGGGCGGCGCGGAGCTGGCGGCGCGTGGGCTCGGCGGGTCCGTCAGCGGGTCCGGTCCGTCCCCCGAGCCGGCCGGGGGGGGCCCCAGCGCTGCTCCCCCCCCCTCCCCCCCCCCCCCCCCGCCATGGCGGCGCAGCCCCCGCCTGGGCCGCGGAAGCGGAGCGGCCCGACGCTGTGCGGGGCGGGCTGGGCCGGGGCCGACCCTCCAGTCGCGGCGGGCCGCGACGGGGCCCTGGAGAACGGCTTCCCGCCCCACAAGCGCCCCAAGAGCTCGGGGGCGGCTGGGCCCGGCGAGGCGCCGGGAGACCCCTTCGGGGACAACGACGACTTCACGGCTGACGACCTGGAGGAGATCGACATCCTGGCTTCGCAGGCGCTGTCGCAGGAGGCTGCCGCCGCTCCGTGGGCGGGCCTCCCGAAACACGCGTGGGGTGCCTGCGGGGCGAGCGGCGCCGAGCGGCGGGCGGCCGTGGGGCTGCCCCGGGGGAAGCCGACAGGTCGGTGTACCCGCGGGGGGGGGCGGTTCGGTGGTTCTCCACGGTGCGAGGTGCGTGGGTTTGCCCGCACGGCCCGGTCCCGAGTCAAGGGCGGTCACCTCTGGGGTCCTGAAGCCGCCCCGTGCTATTGAACTGCTGGGGAAAATGCTTGTCATCCCGTTAGGAATTGGTTGTTGGAGCGGCACGGTGGTGCCGGCTGCTAGGGGAGCTGCTTGAAATTCTAAGTGACACCCGAGCGGTCACGTAGCGTTAAAACGGGCGGTACTGGGAGCCTGCTCTCTGGCAGCGTGTGCCGGGACATGCACCTGGAACGTCGACACTGCCGCTTAAACGCGTTCAATAAAACAAACGACTTTCATAAACTTTTAACAGGGTTTAACTATCATTTATAATATCGTGCATCTTAGCTACCAGATTTTGTTTTCCTAACCATTAACTTTCACTAGTAAACGCATAGTATGTCTCATATTGACAGCTGATTTTCAGGTTTACTTTGAAAAAGGATCCAGGGTTTTGTTCATTATTAAAGTACAGAGGGCTTAAATCCTGTAAGAATGTTTTTGCAGTGCTAACATTTGTAATCTCTTCAGGTCAGAAAGTTTTCAGTTAACCCTTACCTGTGCAGGGTGCACTAACTAAAATTACCTTGGAGGAAATGCTGCATTTACTGTGGGCCATCATACTGATGGTGATAATCTTATGAGAAATGTTTGAGGGGAGGGTTTTATTTTTTTTAAGAATTGATGCACGAGCTCTAAAGAAAGTTACTGTGGTGATCAGATGTGTGCAATTTACCTGTTTATAGCGACAGTATAAATAACAAGATATGCAGACGTATGTAATAGCAAATAACAAAAGCTTGATGTTAAGTCATCAGTGATGTACATACATCATCCATGCTTCAGAACAGATCTCGGCTTTTTTCTGCACCAGGAGGCAGTACAGAAGATAGTCTGATGAGAGATGCATTCCAGTTTGAAGTACTGCAAACACAGCATGAAGAAATTAAACAGAAGGTTAGCAGTATCTTCCCCTCCCCTCTAAATACCACATTTTTTGATAAGGCTAACTGAAAGGTGGGATAAATTTGCTTCCAAGTATCTCATTCTAATCAAGTTGATTAGTAATCTTTGAAATCTGTGGACCTATTAAAAGCATCATACTATAAACAGCTCTAGTAATATTAAGTGTGAGAGCAGTATTTTATTTCTTGGTCATTTCGGATTAGCAAATGCAAATTTGTCAGTTTTACTTGTTTCCTGTCAGATCGATTCTCCTCTGTCCCATTAGCTAGTCAGCAAGAGTCATTTTGTGCAACTTAAAGATTTAAGAAAGTAAACTGACTTTTAAGTTGTGCTATGTTATTTTACCTTCTGATGATCTGTTATGGAAAGATATGGTGGAGGGGAAATGGGTCCAGAAAAGTAAGATGGTACAAATGCCTGTACCAAATCCATCCTTTTTTGGCAGACAGCTTAGGAAGAAAACAAGACCCGAGCAAGTTTATGATGGTATTTTACCAGAATAGCCTTTTAGCCTCTGGTAGAATTTCATGTAGGCATCTCCCAGTCTAGAAATATTATCTGTGTATTTAATATTCTGTAGTGTATTTTTTTAAAACACTTGGGTATTTGGTTTTGGATACCTTCTAGTGTGAAAGAGGTCCACAGATTAACAACACATTGTGTCAGGAAGTTTCTTCTTTGCTTTAATTTTGAACTTTGCACCTAGTGATTTTCAGTGGGTGTGGCTTGGCTGTTACCAGAGGCAGTAAACAAGGAATAACTTGCTTATAGCGCTCACACCTCAGTAGACCTTTGTTTCCTCACAGTTGTGCTTTTTCCCAAATGGGAGGGTCCTACTCTATTTACCTTTCTCTCATCACCCTTACCTCTGTTCTCTGAATCTGTCCCAGCTCTATTAAATCCTCCTGTATTGGGGAAGCTCCTACCTGAACACTGCGTTCAACATGGGGGTAAACCATAATTTTACTTAGGGGTAGAGAGGCATCTTTCTGCTTTTTTTTCTCCATGCTTTTCTGGGTAACTCCTTACCTCTCCAAAGTCTTGTCTCTGGGTGGTGATGGCTGTTCAGACAGCATTAGAGAGTATATATGTCATGAAGATACTGTCTGGGGGTGGTAACTTGTCTTAGGACAGCATGCTTGTTGGCTGCCATGCTAGATGAAATGTTTTAATTGCATTATAATTGTTACCATCCAAACAATGAATAAATTATTGATGTGTGTGACTAGAATACTTTTCAAAAAGAACATAATCACAGAGAAGGGGAAGAAGAATGGTCTCTGACAGATGCCAGGATGGTATATGAAGATGTGCCTTTACTGTCATTTCATAATTCTGTTATCGAAAACAGTAGCTAGGCCTGATTTAATCAGAAAAAGATTAGAAACAACATTGCAGAATTTCTGAACTGGGTTACAGGAGCATTTTTCTCCCTAGAAAGTATAAATGTGCCTAATTTTCAACCACGTAATGATATGAATACATACTTTCAGTTACATAAATACATACTTTCAGTTATATATATCCTTTAATGGAACTCATCTGTTTGCAGCTGAAAGAAATGCAGGATGAAATTCTTACTAAAAATGGAGAAATTAAAATTTTGCGTGACTCCATGCAGCAGATGGAGTGTGCTATGGAGGAACAGAAAAGATCATACATGCTATTGGAACAGCAAAAATCTCAGACCTTAAGTGCAAAAGAAAAAGAGTTCTCCAAAAAGGTTTGTAAATATGACAATTACCTGCACATCACATGCAGAAGTTAATTTTATGACTTAATGATATCACAGACCACCTAGTCAAAGGAAGAACATTTATGTGACATTTCCAAATGATGTATGCTTTTATTTTCTTATCTAGAAGCATTTGTAAGAAATTGCTGAGGGTCGTCTTCTGCCAAAATAAAGGAGTAAAATGCAAGTGGTAGAGGTTTTCGTTTACTTGTTGCCTTTTTTAAGCAATCCCAAGAACATTAAAATTATAATGTATTTTAGAATGGAAAAAAGCGACAGAACATGCTTTATGACTCTGATCAGATTGCTATTCCTGTTGCAGTCATCTTTCTGAAAGCCCTGAAGAGGACAGTGGCTACTTTTGTCCTGTTTACTCTGCTGTTCACGGCCTCACTGTAGTCATGCTCTCCGTGGCAGTTGGTCTCTTAACAAGTCATGTCTCTTGCCTGAAATTTTGATACTTGTTTCTAAGATAGTATTAATTGGACTAGCATACATAAAAATGGAGATCTTGCACAGAGTTCACAGTAAGTAGACAGTAATCTTGAAATTTTACAGTAATTCTTGTTGCTCTGCAGTTATAACACCTCTGAATTATTCAGTAACAGTAAAACCATCTTTTTAATTCCTCTTCCAGTTACTGTCATTACAGTCAGAGTTGCAGTTCAAAGATGCAGAAATGAATGAATTAAGAACAAGACTTCAGAACTGTGAAAGAAATAAACACGCTACTCAGACGGTTTTAGCGCCAAGGTAGGAGTTTTGGGAGATGAATCTGTGTTCCTTTTTACAACATCTGTGCTTAAACTATTGAAGAGATTTTCTTTCTCCATGTACCACTTAGCTCCATTGTCTTTAAAAAGTACAGCCAAAAAAGTCTGGTGACCTCTATGGAATTTGTTCAAGAAGAGCCTTCCTTGTATCTGTGACAGAAATGCAAAGAGTTTATAGTGAACTACCTTTCAAACATCAATGTAAATAGATCTTTGTTTATTGTTTAATAAAGTAATTTCAAAATATTGATTCATCTAAGTTTTAATTTTTATTTTAGCCCTAAAAAGAATTTTGCAATACAAGTGAAATCAGAAGGATGTTCTCCACAGCCTGGAAGAAGATCTTTTCCTACGAAGGAATCCTTCAATGCTGAAACGTCCAGTAAGCCATCATGTTCTTCAGGAAATCCGACTGCCTCAACTGCTTCAGTCAAAGAAGGTAAACCCATATACAGCTTGCAACATATTTAGCTGCATAGGAACATTCTGCCTTAGATGAGGATTTTTGTGCTATATGACTGAACAGTCTCAGTAAGTTCACTGTAGAGAAAAACATTTTATTTTGGTTTTGCTTAAATTTCTTTCTGTTTTATACCAAATGGCATTAAATAGATATGACTGAAATTTGTATCAAGGTCATTTTAATTCACACCATGGCAATGCCTATATACCAGATGCCGGGATGTCAATGATGAAGTGGCTATTGGCCATAACAAAAAATTTTTATTTATTACGTGAGAACTAAAATATCCAAATTGTTAAATCTGCCTTTCTTATATACAAAATAATTTGCCTATTTCCTGAATTGGTCTGCTAGTCAGCTAATGTATTTTATATATTCTTGTGGTTTTGATTTTCAAGTTGACCTTTTGGGGGATTTTATTTTAAAGGGTACAAATTTAGCTGTATTGAAAGAAACAACTGAAACAGTATACTCACTTCCTCTTTTATGTGTAGGACAGTAATTCTCACAAAATTGTATCTTGAAATTTATTGAGTAAATGGGAAATTAGGAAATTAATATATGCATATATTTGAAGATTCCTATAATATGAAACAAAAATGGTGGGTTTTTATGGCAGCTGACTGCCATGTTTCCAACAGGAAATAATAAATGGAAGAAATTTGGATATTATCAACTAATCCTTACATGAAGAGTCATGAAAAATCTGAGATGTAACTGTCAGTTACAGTATTTAATCTGAAACCGTATAGGCATTATGTACTCTATCGAAAAGAAAAATACAATAGCCCTAAAGCATTAGTATTATTTTTTCAGCCTCCTGACTGTTCATTATGGTAACAACACTCAACATCCCTATTTGTTTGAAAAACACACTTGATTATTTGTCTTCTGAACCCTGCAAGGCTTTTGGCTTCAGTTTGGCTAGTAATTGTGACACATAGATGATTGAAAGATTATGAAATGCACAATTTTAGTTTTTAAATGTTTTCTTAGAATTTTATGTTGATTTTTAACTAGTGTAGTCATGTAGATCTCTGCTAGTAGTGGGAATTCAACTTAAGGTATTGTTTTTTCCTAAAAGAAAAGTTGAGAGCAGTAACACTGAACAATCTGTGGTACATCTGAAAGTAAAGGTGAAATGCTATTCGCTTTTCTAATTTATTTTGTGGAGCAGTTCTGCTTGCATCACAGCTCTTAATTATTGCTTGACATATCCGAGTTATACAAGACAAATGTTTTTTAATGATCTACTATCTGTTTAGTTACTATATAACAGCTATGGCTAACTGAATGTGTGTAAAGGATAGCTACAGGTATATAAGCAATGTAGTTCTCGTATTAGACTCATAATTACTGTTTGTTTTAGACAGTAAGATAACCCATCCTGAAGTTTTATCTGTGAAGCATGAAGCAATGGGAAAAAACAGTTCCTACAATTCTGTACCTAAGCGAAACGCACGAGGTAACTTAATTCTGCTAATACAGAAATAGAGAGCATTTCTGAGGAACAGCTCAGAGGTCATTACGAGACAGTGTCGTGCTGAGGAGCCTGCTGCATACAGTGCCACTGCACAGGACAGTGGTGTTCAGCTAGTCGCTTTTCGCTTTGAATGTTCTGATTTTGCAGTAAAGCATTTCGGGTGACAATATAATCTTGCATCCTAACAACATTCTTATGTTATTCTATTTCAGAAGAAAGTTTGCCTGGGTTTTGCTTTATGGGATGATATGGATCAAGAGGCATCTTATTACAGGGATGGCTCTTTCAGTATTAATGTATTATGCTTTTTATTGTAAACTGATGTAAAGACAGGAAAATGCTTTTGTTTTTGTTTTTTTGTTGTTGTTGTTATTTGTTTTGGTTTTTTTTTTTTTGTTTGTTAAATTAAGGTGAAAACAACAAAGCAACATTTACAACAGCCAATACCAGGAAGTTTTCAGGGTACTATTTTATTTCCAATTCAGAATAGAATAACACTAAATTTTACTGTCTGGACTGGAACATGGAGGGCAAGTCACCAGGATAGTTGGGATACATGATCATTTGGCTCGAGCTATTTTGCTGTTATGGGATTGTAATTAAAATATCTCTAAATATAATTCGGTTAATATTTAAATTGTATCTTAATTTATTTTTTCCTGAAAATAATTCTCTTTTAGAGAAAGAAGATTTGTAATGAAAAAATTATTTTGAGTTTGAGAGCACTATAAATAAGGCCAATCTTTTTGAAATATTCTTTGTTGTTTGTTGTTGATGTTGCAGTTGATAGTAAAGCTACTCCAAAGACAATTACATACCCTTTCAGGTTCTATCTTACTAAATGCACTGATGAAACAGCCCATCGTCCCTGGGTCATTACTCGGACTCTGTCATCTTCTTAGCAGTACCTCTGAGCCTCTACCTGGAGCTGTACTGCAGCCTAACTATTTGGATAAGTAAGTTGTTTGGGTTTTTTTGTTAAAGTGTATTTGACATGTTCTCAGTATAGTGGCATTCTCTATACTAAGAAATGCTTATTCATGTAGGATAGCTCATTCCTTGCATTAAATGCAGTTTTGCTTAGGCTATTTAATGCAAAATTTGGAACATCATTCAGCATCTTTGATTATTAATCTTTGATTATTGTAGATGGTAAACAGTGGAACAACCCTAAGAAATAAACTAGGTTAATTATATATTAGGGGAAGGCACCAAAACAGGTTTTATAAAACCTGGGAGTGACTTAGCAGCTGCTATTGTTAGCCAGTTAAGGACATAAAACTTGCATTGCAACAAGGGAAGCATATATACATGATCATGAGTTAAGTGGGAAGAAAATGTTGAAAATATCAAAAGAACAGTAGGCTTTATATCGTCTAAACTGTGTTCAATTTGTAATGTACAATATATGTGCAATTTTCCAAAATCTATTTATAGTGACTGGCAAAACATTTTAAATAGGAATATTGGATATAAATTATAATAGTTTTTCACTTTAAAGAATTAGACTGTAGCTCCTGAAATACCTTTGCTTTTCTGATATGATACTGCATTAGTAATTCTTGGGTTCTGTGGGTCCATAGCAAGGCTCACGTCTCGTGGCCCTTGCCATTTATGCAAGTGGAGGTGGTGCGTTTGGCCTTTGTAGCTGCAAGTTGACTAGTTAATAGCAGAACTCTCCTTCTCTCCCTCCCCACCTCCCTGGCCAAGAAAATAATTTTTTATTATCTGTATAGTTCTCTAAAGGCCCCCACATACTACAGATCAGTAATGTACAGATACTTGTTCTTCCCAGAATCTACCAAATAACATCAGGAGAAGATAATATATGGCAGGTTATCAAAAGAATGAAATTGGAAAGCCAAAGTTTCAAATGTAGTTTCAGACAGTGGCTACAGCTGATGTTGCTCAGCTCTAAGCTCTGACTGCTTTCCCAAGACTTAGGAGTGCTTTGAAATTGCTCCTTCATGCAGGTATCAAGGAGTAGGATTTTTTTTTTTCCCCAATGTACATTTTATTTGGGGAACAGACATCTCTTAGTACTCTAGCCTTTCTGTTATTTGATTCAGAATATGGATAACTCAAATTTCAACTGTGTTCTCTGCCTTTTCTTCTGAAGTATTTCCCATTTTAATTTTATTTGGATAGGAAGTCCACACAACTACCCAACAGCAGGACAACTCAAGAAGAAATTGCTCCTCCTGTATCCCTGCAAGAAGCTCAAGAACTTGCAATAACAGGATTGAACTTCATTGCTATGGACGAAGGATTATCTGAAGGAAACCCAACAGAAAGCCAGAGAGAGTTCTTGCACCTCACACGCTGCAAGGTCCGAGGTGCTGTGCATCTCTTGCCCTTGGTCGAGCACCATATTGGTGCATACTGTCAAGCGGTACAATTGGCGGACAAGTCAGTGAACGGTTCTTGTGGAAGCCATTCAGCTGTGTCTTCCAGAACCAACGCAAATACGGTGTCAAGTAAGGAGGACTTCAGGTTGTCTCTTGAAGAAACTACAGTTATATCGCTGGGTGTTCTTTATTATTTGGCATTTTATAGCTGGGATGTTGTCCACACATTGCTGTCTGCTGAAGTGGAAAAAAGTTCTGCTGCTGGAGATGAACAGGTTTCCAAGATGGACAAAACTGTGTTGTGTGATAATCAGCGTGATAATAAAGAAGATACCAGGACACAAGGAGGGCTGCCCGTAGCCCCACAGGATGCTTCCAGAAATGGTCAAACTCCACATTCTCTGTTTAAAAAGCTGCTTCAGGTTTTAGCTTTTTCTGCTACAAGAGGCTCCCAGACTCATAGTATACTGAACCAAAGCCTAAAAGTTTTGGTGAAATTAGCTGAAAATTCAACAATGGACTTGCTAATAAAGTAAGTCTTTAGCTTTAAAATTATTTCAGACTCATTTAGCAGTTTTCATTCTCTGTTGAAATTAATTCGTGCAGATGACAGTAGAAGTTTTGACATATATGAGAGAATGTCACATTTCTCAGATAATCTTTGAGCAGCAATTGAGGATCTTTCTACTGCCTTTTCTGCTAACGGATGTGATAATGACCCCTGATCAGTAACAAGATTTATGATGCTTTTATGAAGCAGATGCTGTTGCCTCATTGCATAGCTGTCACTTGAAAGTGAGAAAACTTCTTAAGGCCATATGCAGTTGATCGACAGATCTATAACATTCATTTGGGGTTTTTTTGCAATTGCTGGGAGATGTGTAAGGAATGAAAGCACAGGGTCTCATTCTGGTAGGTAAAATGCCACTCTCAAAAGTGAGGCATTTCATCTGCTAATGATCTAATGTACACAACCACAGTATGAACTGAAGACTGACTGCCAAACGTAACAGGGTATGTTTTTCAGTGTACTTTGACATGTATGTTGAGATCAGGTGTGTTTTGAAGGGCTAAAAAGGCACAAATTATGATGCTGTGTACAAGAAATAATGTATTTTTGACTTGTTGGTGCTTTTCTCATTTCTAACTGAGTTTTCTTTTGAAGTTTTCAGCACTTACTGAGTAGCCAGATCCTGCTCCATTGCCTGTGTTCGGAGACCCCTTTGCCTGCTGTCCTTTTGACCGTGCGACTGTTGTCTGTTCTTGCTCAACACCACATCTTGGTTGCTCAACTTTGTTCTCATTCAGGTAAAAGACTGCATAACACAGAGAACTGTTATCAGTTGAATGTTAGCATGACTAAAAAGTAATGCAAGTAGGCCTTCTCCAAGGTGTTAAAACCCCAAAAAGCAAAAAGCCTCCTATGGTACCTGAAAATTTGTTTTCTAGTGCAGTGCTTCAGTTACTGTTTGAAGTGTATTTTCTCTTATGGTATCTGTTACATACAATGCTTTTGAGACCTATGTGGATTTTTAAAACTGCTTTCTGAATTAATGTTTATCATATTAAATGTTAATGAGGAAAAAAGAGCTTTTGAGGAGATTTGAAGTTTAATTTATCTGCGCTCATGACACTGAGTTTAGGGACTCCAGTACTTTGCATGAGCAATAGTATTTGTCCAGATCCTTATGAGTGAGGTAGGACAGTATTACCACAAACACATATATAAAGTTTAGAGGTACTAGTTTTTTCAGCACTGCTTGGGGTGTCTGAAATAAAGCAAGAAGTTGAGCCTGTATCGCCAGGCCCAGGATAGTACTCTGTATTTTCTGAAATGTTTTCATGTCCAACAAAGTTAATTTTTGTCATAAGCAACTGACTAGTTGGGAAAAGAACAGAGTCATCTCTTTTCAGACACCTGCCTCCTTCTTGCACTGTACATGTATATTACATCAAGACCAGATAAATCAGCATCTGAAATGCTTTGGCTTCAGCTGGAACAAGAGGTAACCACAGCTGTTTGTTTTTGTGCTTTTTCCTGCTATTTTCAGCTGGGGGCAGTGGGAGGAGCAGGGCAATGAACAGATTTTCTGAAAATAAGTTCTTTCTCCAGCTGAAATAGAACACTGAAAGTATTGGCTTGCAGTAAGGGATTACACTGATTTTTAAGAGTAGCTGCTTGAAACTGGATCAGTAACTATTCTTAAAGAGAACATTGGTCATAATAGTCATAGTTAAGTCACTGGAAAAACAAGAAAGATCCTAGGATGGCTGTAAGTGTTCAACACTGAACTTTATTTTGCTTTTAGATTGGTAGAGTAAAAAGAAGCAAGATTTACATTTCATTTTGATTGTATTACTTCTGACCTGTATTTTATGAGTTATTACATATAAAAGGCAGGCTGTAGCAATTTAAGATTATATTCTTTGTATTCAGTGTAAATGCTAGCTTGCTGTGTAATAGCCGTGATTGTACACAGGAAGAATAGTGTTTGAACTTAATTTGTAGTGTTTGTACTGACAGTGGTGACTTCTTTGAGGTTCTACTATTTGCTCCACCTCTGTTCTCATTTGAAATAATTTTTAATAATTTTCATTATCTCCATACCTACCTTCTTATATTAAATGTAAGCATGTTGTTTGTGTGCAGTGAATTAAGGCCCACTGCACCTCATTAGCCTTCCTCATCAGGAAGTTGAAAAAGTTTCTGTGCAAGGCAAATGCCATATCTGTAAAGTTCCTTAAGAATTCTTTGGGGTAAAAAAAGATCAGCTGTTTAGAAAGAAAACAAGAATGTTTGAAACTAGAAATGAAATATCACTTCTACCTCCTTTTATTTGCAGCTTTTTTGATAATTCTGCAGAACCCTAGTACCCAATATAATGCAGTCTGTGTGTTTTTGTAATAGACAGTTAGACTCCTGACAAGGTGTATGCGGTGTTCCAGTCCTGCTGTTTTATTGCCTGGTACAGACTGCCAGTGTAATCTTGAGGTACGTCACTACAGTGGCTGAGTTTAATCTACTGAGAACTTAAAGGTACTCAATGCTGAAATAGCTTTTTGCCCTTTTCTTAGCTACAATGAAACTGAAGTGTACTGTACTTTAAAGAATGCTACCTTCTAGGAAGCTTGCTTTTGCTTCTGGAAAATACTCTGAAATTTGTAATTTTGAAGAAATTAAACAGTTTATAATGAAGTAAGTTTTTCTGCGACTATAATTTTTGTGTATTGAGGCACTTTTTTTCTTGCAGGTGGTTAAGGCACTAATTATAATGTTACATAGACAGTGGATGAAGATTAGAAGATCTGAGAACAACTTATGTGCATATAAGGAACAAATTATCCAGTTTTTACGGGATGCTGTTTTACTCTTACACAGCCTGTCTCATAAAGATAAGCTGTTTCACGAACACTGTTTGGAAGTTCTCCATCAATATGATCAAGCCATGCCAGGCATAAGAGCCATCCTAAGAAAAACTCAGAAATTAAGTGCCTGTGAAGGTAAAGAGTCAAACGATAATGTTGGCTTTTTTCCATGCTGTAGAAATAGAAATTCTACTTCTGTCCCTTTCCTTATTTAACAAGTGCCATGTACCAAACCCCATGGATGTTTGTTGCTCAGACCTCAGAAGGCAGTCTACTGCTTCTCAGTCTTCTTTATACTGAATCACTATTCTGCTATTCTTCAGTAGTTTTATCTTCTTCTCTCTATAGAACTATGCCCCTACTATCTTATCAAACAAAATCCTATACTTCAGCTCTCTTTAGTAGAACAATCTGCACTATTTTACCATATTAAAAAAAAAAAAAATCATTATTCCAAGTCTCCAACTAGCATTACACCTTCTGTCTGTAATTGTATTTTTTTCCCCCTGCATCCTTAACATTTCCTCTTCCCTCTTCTACCCCAAAAGCTTCTCTAGCCCATGTCCATCAAGCCTTGCCCCTTGCTTTGCACACTTCTGGTGTCTATTTCCTAAAGAGTGCTAGTCTTGCGAAATTGCCTTTCCTCCTTGTACCTTGATGCCATTTCTTCATTCACTCAGGGCATTATTTACATATATGTTGTAGAACTGATGTGAAGATTGTACTCTTATGTTAGTATGTAGCTTGCTACAAGGTATCAGACAAGGCATCTAGCTTTTTTCAGAGTTGGAGTGATAAATCCTTCATTGTTGGTGTATGTATTGCATCAGTAATGCAGATCACGCAAGCATGCCACCACAGTGTCCCAGGGTTTTCTAGAACTTTACCTAACACCTTGTCCAACTGGGCTTGGGAACGGACCAGAACAGTAGAAGAGCTTGTGAGGGTGGGGATGGTGGTGCACATGAGTGCTTGCAAACCTGAAGTTAGCATTCATGTTCTTCCTTTAAAACACGAAATACTGTGCTTTTGTCCTAGTGACTTTTAAAAACTAGTTAACAAAAATGAGGTTTTAAACTTAATAATCAGAACTAGTTGCAAAATAACAAAGTCCTCTTTACTGTTTTTCTACTAATAGCTAAATTTAATTGACTGCTCAATATAGTTTGCTCCTTTAATGCCTAAAAAGGCATTAAAGAAAAGAGGGGGAGAAGTTATATGACAAAACGCGTATCTAAAGACCTGTTTGCATAGAATCTTGAAAAAGGATAGTTGTTGTAGCCTTCTATAGTCAGTATCTTTAAAAATGCAAACAGATATCAGCTATAATTATACTATATGAAGTAGAAAAATGACTCTGAAACATGATATTTTTGTTATTGTTGCAGAGCTGATTTTGGATGAATTGTATCCTCCTGAGCCAGAAGCAGAAGATCACGGAATGGACTCTAGCTAGCTAACATCTAGCAAAGATCTCTGTCCTTCCTCATCTAAATCATAATAATCATTGCCAGTGTAAATCTGAAATTTAAATCATCTATTTTAAGTGATAATCTAGAAGTTGCACTGAAATGCAGCACAACTAAGACATCTCTTTGCTGTGATTATTTTAAGTGCCATCTAAATGTCACTGAAAGCAAAGAAATTTTGATGCAAGAATTATACTGCAATGTACTGTTTTGCTGTGCAAAACCACTCAGTTGCTTATGACTGGTTCTGTTTATGAATTTCATCCTTTATGAAATTGCTGTAAATGGAATGGAAATGTCACTATTCTCCATTTTACTGTGATTACTGCTAAATTTATGATGCTGAATGTGCTGAGATGTTTGGGATCCCTTTGTTCATGTGAAAGTCCTTTGAACTCATTTCTTTTGCAGCTGTAACACTTTTCTGCTTGACTACCAAAATTTTCATGTTGATAAACAGTTTACTGTGATTTTAAAAAACCTTTCTAGAAATAAGTTATCGTTGGCACTTCAGTTCCGAGGAAGAAATTCAAACCCCTGTAATAATTACCTGAGTTCACCATTTTTTCTCAATTTCATGAATCTGCTCGACATGTAACTGTTAAGATACCAAAACAAAAAATACTAGATTTTTTTTTTTTTTAAATTTACCTTAGAAGACTAAGATGGTAACATTGAGGAGAGAGAGAGAAGGATATTTAAGTGTGTGCAGACTGGGTTTTTTTGGTTGTAGTATCTGGATAGGCACTGCAGTGATAATGTCATTCCTCAGATACAGCACTGAGTATGAGAGGAAGAACTGTTGCTATACCCTTTTCAGGAATCTGTCAGCTGTGATAGCTGCAGGCATCACCTGAACCTTAGACCCTAAAAAGGGAAGTGTTAGTACTACTAAAATGAGCTGAGAGGTTTATATTTTTTAAAAATTTGGGAAGATTTTTCATTTTTTGATAGGTAGTTGATCCAGAACAAGCCTGGCTCCAGGGACAAGGAGGAGGAGGGATAGTACTACAGTGGGAAGGAAGCCCTTGGAAAATTGTGAAACATCCAGTTCTCTGGTCATAACCCAAAGTGGCTGTGTCCTGCCCTGGCGTGCCTGGGCAAAGAGCCCTACTCCAGTGTGCTGAACAAGCTCTTGACTTGGCTTTCACTTTTGAAGAAAACTTTCCCAGAAATCACTATGTGTAATAATCCAGCCTCTCCCTAGGGCCAAAGCTCCTGGGCACAAAGCTCCACTCCTAGGGCTAAGCCTTTTCTTTGAGCAACAGCCAGCACAGTTCCACCAGGCAGGGCCTGTTCGTTTGTAAAACACAAGCTGCCAACTGCTCCTCTCAGTAAAAGGTTTCAAGTCCCTTGGGGCACCTGGACAACTGCCATTTTTCTGCTTAAATGCAGCAAGGAAGGATACACAGGCACATACCAGCACAGCTTTCTGAGTCTGTGTATGCTTGCGTGGTCACAACCCTAGAACTGCCACCAGGGCACTGGACAAGACGTGCTACAGAAGTTTCAGCATGATATAAAAACATTTGACTTGTACACTTTAAACAAACAAAAACCCCAAAAAAACAAAACAAAACACAGCACTTTGGGACTAGAGAGAATAGCTCCTGCCTTACTCAAAACCAAAATAAACATTAAGATAATTCTTGAAAAATAGCCCTATGAGCAGTAGTAAAGCAGTATCCAGCAGAATCCTTCTGTGAGGGGCTAACTTGGAGCTGTCCTAACAATGATACGATAGTCATAATATCCCAAAACACAGTGACCTGCCATCACTGATCAACTGCTCTATGCTGTTCTCACCACCTGATTTCTTTAAACATAGTTTGAGTTTATAGAGGTAAGATGCATTTAAGCCCCTTTGGCCTATTCACCCAGAGAAGAAACTGTTAAGTCTGGATGAAAACCAGTTAAGGAATCCTAAACTGTTGAAGCAATTCGGTTAAACAAGCTTTTATAAAAAATTCCTGGCGTCATCTAAAGGGTGTGTGTATGGCAACTTGGTAAAAGTTACTGATAAACCTTACATAAACAGAAGTGTTACCTGTGGAAAAAAATGCCAGGAAAATACCCCTAACTGTTCCCTTCTGGCACTGCATCCCTTCCCATGCACCCACTGTAACAAACACCCTAACTTGTACATTTACACTCTGGTTTTCTTCCCACTTTTGACTAAAGTGGTGTCGCCCAGGCTATATACAAACAAACCAGCCCAAAATGCTATACCTTTACCCGTAGAAAGGACAGTAACATCATGGCATTAGGAAATTAAACTGTAGCTTTTAAAAATTAAGGCATTTTCTGTAAAATTCCTAAGGAAAAAGGAGGAAAAAGGAAAAAAGAGGCCGCACTCCTAAAGAGAAAAGGTGTACTTACAGAACTGCCATAATTCATTATTTATTACATCATTTACGGTGACCAATCTTTTTTCAGGATTATTGGAAGTCTACTGAGCTTCAGTAATTATTGCCTTTTTACATTCTGTTGGAATTTTTTCTTTGGATTACAGACATCCAACCATGTAGGCAACATCTGATCATCCCCTGAAAAAAAACAAGCATTTTTACAGATTACGGAACTACTGGTTTACTATCTTCATGACCAGAAAGTAACAGAACTCAGACTGTTCTCATCAGACACTCCTTAAAGAATTGACAGCATAGCAGCTCTTTTTTCAAGGCCAGTTTGCATTTTCCCAACATGTTATAGATAAGTTGTGCCTCTATTAACTGAGAAAAGGAATTTACTCTGGCATCAAGCAGAGTCACAGGACTGAATAATGAAGTACTGAGCAACAACAATAAACACTAGTCATGTTCTAGATGTGATTATCACATTCCTCAGTCAGCAGCAGCCACCCATCTGTTTTCTTGCCCATGGGGATGGCAACTAGTTTCCCCTTTGCCGAAAGCTGACCTAAGAATAGCTGGCTTTTTCCTCCTCACTGAACTGTACTGAGCAGACAGGACTGAAGCTCAGCAGGAGCTGGCTGAAGAAAGGAATCACCTCTACTGGCTTGCCCATTACTCGGGCAACCTTGTGCAAAAAGGATGAGATCCTTGCTGACTTGTATTTTAAGATCTACTGACACTACCCCTTGAACAGTTGCAGAGCAAGAGGTATTGCATTGCTAAATTCAAGGACCTGAGGCACTGCATGGATTCAAACACACAGCAGTTTATTTCTACTGAACCTATGTACAGAGAGAAAGTAAATGATGCTTCACTGACTAAAATATTGAGGGAATTTACACAAGTAACACCTTATTTTCTACAACTCATAGAATTATTGAATAGTTAAGGTTGGAAGGGACCTCTGTAGGTCATCTAGTCCAGCCCAAATCAAAGCAAACTTCCACAGACAACTGCTCTGTGTCATTTCAGGCCTCAAAATACATTTCTGTAAACCAAGCTGTAATAGGTGAAGATGGCAAATACAAAATACCCCATCATGTAGCATGCAGCATCTGACCTGGGTTGTTTTTTTTCATATTAATTCCACTAGTGTGAATTACTGTTTAAGAAAGTTTAGCCTGTGCTAGACTATTAGAACAGAAAGTTAATTTAACCACTGAATAAAGTTTTTATGTTACAGTCAGTAATATTATTTATGATTAAGGTCAAATGCAGCAGTAATCTGCCTGTAAGGAGTGTATTACCTGCTGTGAATGTAACAGCAAATGCAAACTTGCATCTACCGTGTAAATTGTTAAAACCTATGTATCAAATTATAATTTAACAGTGATAAGAAAAGGTGGTCTGTAAGCTTTATAAAGACCTACAAGCCCACTGTGGCTGAAGTTTATCAAAATGCTTCCAAGAGCGAGGGCCAACATGTTCAGTACCAAGTTTAACTGCAAACCGCTAGCAATGTGCTGAGCACCCTGTCCCTGCAGCAGGTACATTGAGTTCACTTTGGACTGATTTTATAGGTTTTAGTCCTAAAGCTTCTAAGCAAAATAGTGCTCTGAATAGCTTGCTCAAGTGGTAACCTGCTTTTGAAAATATCTAGGGGGACCAGCTAGTTTATCTTCATATTCCAACAACGTAACTGCGGAGTGTCCTAAACAGAGATAACACAAACCAGACTGGTTTGGGTTGGTTTGTTTTTCTGTTTTGTTTTTTTTTTTTTTTTTTGGTCTATGCATTACTCTCATTGTGGGTTGGTATCTTGAGAACGTAGCTGAACAATTTGTTTGGCTAAAGACCTCCTTTACAGCACAGATGTGCTGCGATACCTGTTCAGCAGTCTGTAAAGCAGATCCTACCTGATTCCAGGGCCAAAGTAACATCTGAGAGTGAACCATGAAAACCAACTGCAAGATCAAGAAACGTTAGAATGGAAACTCTCCAGGAACTGCTTTAAAAGCTACTTTGACTGCAGCAAGGAAAATCGGGTATCAGAGATTAATTTATACATATCTTGAACCGTTCTTCAGCATTGGTGAAACGAAGAGTGAAACAGCTGCTCAACTTGTCAGCTTGCAGGAGAGGAGGGATGGCACGGAGATGGAAATGGCATCGCTTCCAAACCCGTGCCCCACGCTGCAGCCCCAGGGGAACCAGAGAGGGCCTGTGCTGCACTGCGCCGGGCAGTGCCGCCTCACTATCCAGTACTGACAAAAGGAGTTAGCCGTGTCTTAAACCTAAAGAAATCACTTTACAACAGAAGGGCATCCCTTATAACGTGGCTAACTCGCCCTTAGTGGAGACTGCCATAAAAAGGTAAAGCAGAGGAGACTACTCCATCAACACAGATGCCCAAGCTCTTTAAAGGATAAAATATTTTCTTCAGCTTTATCTCACCTTTAACAGGTTTAACTTGCACACTTTTTCTCCCTCCTATACAACTTGAAAGGTGTAAATCTGACCAGGTTCCTGTGATACAGGCTATACAAGTAGATGAGGTCAAACAGTAATCAGAGGGAAAAAAATAGGCCCCAAACCACTGGCTAAAGCAAACCTGGCAAGTCAGCATACATGCTTAGATATGATCCTAATCTTCCACACTTTAAAAAAAAAAAAAAAAAAAAAAAAAAAGAGAGAATTGCTTGTTTGGCAATTATTGCTCATTTTTCCCTCCTTTGTGTTCAGCTTCTCCATGCAACCCTGCCATGGGTTTTAAGATGCATGCCAAGTTTTGTTCTGGAAAAAGTCACACTATCATAAACAACTGCTGATTAAAAGTTACGGAAACGTAACCAGCATTATTCCTCACCCCGAGCTCTCAACTTTTTAGTTCAGCAGTTTGCTCTCCTATATGGTATTTTGCTGCAATTTTAGAGGGTGAAGGTACCTTTGAAGCCCTATGTGCTCGTTAAAGGAAATATGAAGTTTTTAAACAAAACACTACATTCCTCAGATTTGTGTGCAGAGAAGGGAAGGCACACAGCTTTTCTCTGAACAGAAGGAGGCTTCTCTGCATGTCACTTCTCAAATTCAGCCATCTTGCACAGATCCATCTGCTAAAAAGTCATGGGGGAAAAAAAAAAAAAAAAACAGATGAACTAAAAAGTAGTGGCAACAAAAATGTCAGAAACAACTCTGCATTCTCCTGGTATAATTTCTAGCCCACACATTAATTTTAGTTGTCTTCTACATTGAGGTTTTGGAGGATACATTATGTCTGCTGTCTCCAGTTAAAGGATAGAAATTCTGATGAAGAATGTGAAATAAAATTGTAAGTGAAATGATCTATATTTCATCTGCAACACATTATCAGCCTGCAGCTGAAACTCCAACAAATTCAATTAGTAACATTGCAAAACTACCTGATTACTCCATGATAAACAACTCTTTCAGAACAAGTTTGGGTGGGGGATTGGGCTTTTTTTCTTTTTGAATGTTGTCATTCCCTTCCCTCCTGCACCTTTTTTAAATCCTGCATTGGAAACTTAGCTGGCAATTCAAGGTAATAAAGATTATATACTGAACATTCTCAACTAATTCAGTACTACTCAGTGTCTTATAAAAAGCATTCTTGGTCTGCTCAAAGAAAATATTTTCAAGTAAAAGACTAATGAGACAGAGGTATAAATACAACCTTTCACAAGCGTTTTTTTCAAAACCATTGGAAGTACACAAAAACATCAGCAAAAATGTTCTCACACAGAGTAGAAAGCATCACTTACCACACATTGGTCAAGTTGATAAATGAGGCATGATACTCAACACACAAGTCAAAATACATGTTGAGAAGATACTAAGCTTTAATCAAGTTACAGATGACTTTGAAGTCTACCATCTTGTCTACACTAGACTTTTCAAATCTCTTGGGATATGTTAGCTAATGCATTCAAACTTCATGCATTTAATTTACTCCGTTGGCTACAAAAGGCCTTAGGAACAATCCTTTTAGAATAGCTTTGAAGCAAACTGTCAGAACAACATTCAGGAGCTTATATTGTTCTTGCTTTATGTTGTGACCTCTAATTACGATTAGGCTTCAACCTCCACTACCAAAAGTGATATTCGTGACACAAGGTGACTTAAAGTACACTTGGTAACACTAGCTGTCAAACAAAATGAAGTAAAATGCAGTTTTTCATATACACTCCTTAATAATACCCAAATTCAGGCTAAGAAAACAAAATTGATAGAATATTCTTCAAACACTGCATTTATTACAAAGGTGCATAGAGTTTATGCCATTTCTTTTGAATACTTACATTTAAACTACAAACAACATACAAAGCTAGATTACAGTATGTAATAAAATCAACAATGATTATCTAGTAAATTCAGTACAACAGAATATTCTACTGTATTTATTTTCACAAAACATTTCTGAAACAAAGGCACTTACAGAATTTAAAAAATTAACATATACTCTTTCAACATTTGAAATTTTAATTCCATTTCCCCTCCCCTACAGCACTGTGGATAACTAGCTTGACATGAAGGCAACAGCTACTTGGACTGATACATCAGCAGTGCTTAAACTAAAAGTCTATGGATCAACATCTCCATCTTTTCTATAACCATCCCATTCTCCTAACTACGTGAAAACAAGTTTCATTGGATGCCTGGCAACAACTAAATAAAATTTGGTCCTATGCCTTATTGTTAATGATGATTAACACGCTAAGAGAAGATCTGATTAAGTGCTCCAATTATGAAGCAAGTGGACCATCTTCTCTCCCTTCAACAAGTTTTGTAACTGAAATAGTAATACTACTACTAAAGTAGTTCCTTGTATATAAATGATTAGTCTTTTCACTTGTATATAGTTATCATTAGCATGTGTTCACTGCAGGAAAGGTGTAAATTTTCAGGCTCCCTAACCCTATCCCTCATCTCCCACTGCTCCACATACAGTGTTCAGGGCAATTTATTTGGTCTGTGTAACATCTACACCAAAACTTCGCATTTGGGGACCTCTGTAATTGTTGCCACTTTATTTTCCTACTATCTTTTCCTTAGGGATGATGGCAGAGGACTGAGCCAACTTCTCATGAAATTAGAGATTTTCCTTTCATAACCAAAACATAACCTTACCAACACTTCCATGAACTGTAGGCCTTATCACGTCAGAGGGAGGAAAGGAAGAGCAGTGCAGAGTAACAATCTCACGAAGCCCAGCACTAGAATATTGTACCTGTGCTCTGAGTGCTGCACAGCAGCTGTGCTGGCTGGCTGCACCTCACTTGCCAGACTCCATCCGGGCAGCAAAGGTGCTGGTATAGTCTCTGCCCTCTTTCTATATGAATAACACACAGGGAGAGGATCTATAGCAAGGGAATTATGTCTGCAGTTACTCAGTGCCCTCCTACACATGAAAATTCCAGATTTCTAGGGAAACACTTCATCCTCCATACAGGAGGCACTCTCCGTTTTTGGTCGTTCTCACATAACTCCTAACAGCGTAATGAAGCATTGCCCAATTTCTCGACTTACAAGGCATAAAAGAGGAGGAACACACAGATACAGGCCATGCATGCTCTGTGAGTGCCTCTTGGCACCATTTCATGCTATTAACTTCAACACTCAGAGAGGTGTAACAGAGGGGGCACAGGCTGTCATGAATCCCAATGATATCAATTTCCTACAAGTTTCTTCTGAAATGTCCTAAAGACATTCTTGAAAAAAAAAAAAAAAAACAAAAAAAAAAAAACAGAAATAGACTCAAAAATCAGGCTGCCTTTGACAGCAGCAATTTCCGTCCATCATATGAGGTAAAACAATGCCACCATCAATGTTTTTCAAACAGTAATATGCCCCAAATGTAGACTCACAGGACAAATGGCTTAATGGCCTCTCCAAAAAAGTAACATCAGTGTATGTGACATGTCAAAATTATTTCACTAATTATGTCACAGTGATATGTACTGTGTATGACAGATAGCTCTACTGAGGAATAACAAATTGTATTTCAATGTTAGAAAAGACAGACTTGTAGAGGACACTAAAATAATGATGATTCATTTGATCAATACAACGTATACAGAGCCAAAAGCCTTGTAAACACCGGTAACAGTCATGAGGATGTCTCAAGATGTTTCACGACTGCAAGCTCTACCTTCTTGAAAATACATTACCTCACCAGGACCAAATCCTACCACTCTTCTTCTTCCTGACTTCTCATTCTCTGCTCAGCTTTATGGGAATGTTGAAGACTAAAGGGAGGTTTAATCTCTACTCTGTGTTGGGCTGGGATTTCTTATTCCACACCCCCCCCATTATTATTCAAATGCTGACTGCTTATAAAGATTTATCATTCCTAGGTTCCTGATGTGTACACTTCCCACTACAGACAGTGACAAACCCTAAGCATTTAAAAACCCCAATCTATTTCTGACATCCCATCTCTCCTGTAAAATAAATTCCTTCCCTGTGATGAGGCAGGACTGAACACTGGCAGGTACTTTTGCTTAACATATGATTAAGGTGCTAATTTTTCTTTCAAAGTCATCAACAACATATGACTTAAATATACTTGTCCAATATTTTTTATGAAGAAATCTCAGGTTTTCAGCTTTTGATCTATTTTGTTCTAGCAACTGGCAGAGTTTGGTTTGGTTGTTAATTTCCAGCTATAAATTAAAATGGCCTGAGAAAACACCCAATGAAGGCACAGTTTTTTAAGCCTTAAAATTGGGAAAGAAAACAAAGAAAGTATCAACTCACACTATTTAGCACAGAAAAATACAACTAGTCCAGACAATTAAATGTGGTTTTCTACCCCTTACTGAAGTAAATGTGTTTCAAAAGGGAAAATTCCCTTTTGAATAGTAAATGAAATGTATTACACTGTAGTTTACCTAACAATAACAACTTCAAAATAGGCAGAACATACATAACATATATCAGGTAGTTTCTTAGAGATTACGTTTCTATGTTTTAATACTGTGCAAAAGATTGCTACAGCTTTGGGTGTTTGATAATGCTCATATTAGACCATTCCTTTCAAAATTATTGCACAGCAAATATTATTGTGGTTCTTATTTCTTAAGTACTCCTTCTTCATACTTTTCTTGTTGTGAATAGAACAAAATCTCTTTTTGTATTTGCTTGAGGTATAAATTAACAACTTCTGCAAGAAAAATACTCCTTCCTTGTACTCAGAGCATTTAAAAAAAAAGGTACTGAATTAACTTTCACTTTACTTAGACAAAAAGATTGCTGTCTTCCAGAAAAATATACTACAGTCATACAGTGTAAACAGCACAAATTATACTTTAAAAAGTTTTGTCTGCAGAAGCATAGAAGATCTTTTCAATAGGTAGGCTTCTGAGGATCCACATAAGCAGGGTTGTAAGGGGGCTGGGTGATTGGGTAAGGTGCTCCAGCACCAGCTGCAAAAGCAAAACAAGAAAAAACAGATTGTAGAATTTACATTCTGAATTTTATGTGTATAATGGCAATTTTTGGTTTGAACACATGGTTAAGAGCTTCAACTTAGGTAGCATTTTAATTGGACTTGAGAACAGTTTGTGCTAAATCATAAAGCATCCACATGTCAAAAGTAAGACCACAAAAACCTTTGTTCTTGTGGCTAGTTTTTTTTTTTGTTTTTTTGTTTTTTTTTTGTTTTTTTTTTAATGCTTAACTGTACATGTATATTATGGCAGCCACAAACACATGGTTAGCCTTCAGGGGAGAACAGAGTCTAAAAACAAAGGAACAGATCTGGTCCAAGAAATAAAGCCAGTGGAAGTCAGAGATGCAGAAACAATAGGATATACCTGATAGTATGCAGAGAAGTGAGAATAACCACTGGGCAAAAGAAAAAGGACTAGAAAAGCATCTTAGGATTCCTTCAAGGAAAATCCTTTCCTAGTAAATGTCATGGAGTTTATTAAAAAAATTGAAGTGAAAAAAGTATCCCACCACTACCGAGCACATTAAAGATTTTGACTTATGTACTAGATGTACATCACTCAGATGATATCCTTATTTTCTAATATTCTGGGACAAGCTGCTCTCAAGTGGCATCTTCATTTTCAGGTCTGTCAAATAGCACAAGTTAGTTCAAATAACACAGCATGTGATCAGATTCCTGGAACGTATAGTGTGGTTATCTTTTGCTGATCTTGTAAAGTGAGTGGGTTTGGCTCCTGTGTGACAGAGCAGGTATTCTCTCCCTTGCATGGGATCTAATTAAGAGATTGCCCCTTGATTAACAGACAAGAGAAATAAAGGAAAGAGGTCTCACTTTGAGACATTCTCAGCTAGCAACAGGGTAAGTGCTTCGAAATCTTTCCAGAAAAAAAAAATAATTTTAAGAACTAACAAACCAGCAACAGTCAGAGAAACCAGAGAGTATGAGAAGCAAAATGACAAGTTTATTGGCTTCCTCACATGATAAAGATGAAGCCAAAGCACTTTGGGGTAATCCCATAAAACCCACAGCTTCTTCAGAGTTTATAACAGAGAAATAAAGTGAACAGGCCTGCCAAGTCAGTGTTTTTACATACAGGACTGGTTTGCACATTGTTAATGTGTAATTTCTAACTAGTTCACAAGTGCTTAAGACCATGAGCAGCCATTTTATATTTGAGTTGTCATGAAAGAATTACTTTCCAAGGGCATTATCTACTACTCAGGACCATACTTTGTTACTTAGAAGGATGAACAGTGTGGTTTGTAAGGGGGTTTGAAGATCCTAGGGCAGGTAACAGCCTAGTTTTGGCCCTTCTGAACAGCCAGGAGCCAACTGTTCAAGAGAACAGCTATTACCAGTGGAAGTAGGAATTAGTAATAGCAACAATAAAGCTGCATGAAAACAACGCTATGAAGGAAAGAAAGCAGAAGAAAAAAAAGATTCTGATAATTCTAACTGCTAGTCATCAGGAAACTTGTCTGAAGTTGATCAGAGACTCAGTATTCTATAAACATAGTGATGAACTACTAGAAAATGCATCTGTGTATAGACTGAAACATCTAGCAAATATCAGATTAGAAAGGGTATGTAGAAGCACTCAACTACTACACATATGTTAACTAGACTTTGATTTTAATATGAAATTTTAACTGAATTAGTAAAACATTCTACTGGATCCACTGGCAGTCCCACATACCACCAAACTTCACCAATACAGCTCCAGCTACATTTCCTCTTGCAATGCTTAAAATAGAAATGGTGATGGGGAAATTTCAGCAAGAGTGATTTACAGTGTCCACCATAACTTGACTTTTACAGAATTTGTTCACATTTACATTAATATATTAATAGAAAATAATAAGTGTAAATAATACAAGATTGGCTCCAAAGCAACTGTGTCTCTAGCTATTTAAGAGATGAAGAAACACTCAGCGCTGCCTTACCTGCCAGAGTTTCATGATAAGCTGGGGGTCCCGACGGCTGCATGGGGTAAGGGGGAGGATACTGTGCAGGGTACGGTGCTACCGGCATTCCGGCTGTGGCTGGATAGCCACAGGCTGATATCCTTGATAGGGAGCTACTGGGTAGTTGGGTGGCACTCCCTGCTGTTGGGGATAGGGAGCATGAACCACTGTAGTGGAAGTAGTGGTGGCCACAACAGCTACAAGCAAGCAAAAGGAACATGGTTAGTGATGGTGGTTCTGCAAGATCACCTGGAACAGCCAACAACAGTAATGTAAAAAATATTAGAAACGTACGTCCCTAAATATATTTCCATTGATCTCAATGGTAATGAGAGCTTTCACATACTTGGATAGAAGCCAACATATTTCCTTGTTTCTCAATCACAAATAGCAAAGAATTTTTTTCTGGGATGCTTCAAAAACCAGGAACTCAACTCTGCAGCCAACTTATCTATCATTTGGTATGAGACCTGCAAAATTGCTCATTTTTAAATGTTATCTGCTTTTAAGGATTAAGGTGATAAAAATCTCCTTTATTAGGTAAGGAGCTTCCTACCATGACTGCTCTAATGAGTCTCGTTTTGTATGTTGTCTACACACAAATACATCCATGTGTTAGTACCATCCCTGTGTTAGTATGTCTTTCTCTAAGTAAGTCAGAAAGGCAAATACACATTAAGTCATCAATTTTTGTAGGAGCTGATGTTGGATCATTGGTTCATATCTCTTATTGGAATAAGGGAGCATTAACGCTTTCTAATAAACTGCAATAATTTGTTTTCGAGATCTCCTTCTTCTTTATGCTACAATTACAGACTTTGCTTAAGGTTGCATTGTTGCAGTCCCGGGCCTTTGGTGTATTTTTCAGGTATGTTCTTAAGAGACTGAGAAAAATTTTAAACTTCATTCTATCCCCTCCTTACATAAACAAACAACAGAAACACCCAACACGCCCACCTTTCCCCCCCAAATGTGGATGGGGGGGGGGGGGGGGGGAGAGAGAACCATAAAATGCTTTAGAACTTTAGAAAATATTCCAAAACATCTCTCTGCAACTTCACATTCTGAAACAGCTTAAATGCTTATTTTTAATGTTTAGATATTGCAATTTCTGTAGCAGAGAGGTAAGGCAAGATTATTTTCACCTTTTATTGGAACAAGATTTTCCAAAGGGGAAAATAAACAAACAACAAAAACCAGAAAGTCCTTTTCAAAGATATGTAAAAGAAAATAAATATATAGGTACTTACGCCGTGGTCTTCGACATGCTTTATACAAACAGCAACACGAACAGGTGAGGCACAGAATAATAGTCACTACAATCACCGCACAAACAGTAATTCCAATCGCAACAAGGGTTCCAAAACTGCAAAAGATACCACCACAAGCAGTCAGAGTCTTTCCCAAGAATCTGTTACTCTTTAACCTAACATTCTGTAGCCAACACCCTGCTCTTCCTCCAATTTTTCACTCTTACTACTTCATGCATTTGAATAAGAAACAACTGTCTAATGTTGTGCTATGTGAGGTCAGGTCTGCTAAATCAGTGGAAGCCGACCAGCTCCTGTCAAGGAGCACATATCCCTGTGCATGAAAAGGGCCCAACGGGAGTCTTTGGTCCCTCTCAGTTTAGTGTGATTGCAGTTCTTGTTATTTTAGGGCAACTGCATGTCCCATTATGTATTCCAAAAGGTTAAAGCGATAAGGTTTCAAAATCACTAGTTTGATGACTTAATTTTCCAAGCATTATTTGCCTGCTCTGGACACACAGGTAGGCATGCCTGAAATGAAGCACCCCGGACTCTGGGGTGACAGCAAGTTCTCTGTACATTTGTAAGACCTCCCAGGCCAGATCTCAGGACAACCTTGGTACTGAGCAGACCTCTCCACACTGCAGATTCTCGGCAAGTTCCTTAGCATTTGTAAAAAGTTGGTTTAGCAGCCAAGTTTCACACGGTTTGAAAGAACTGAAATTCTGCCACCTTTACTGCAATAACGAGTATGTTATGCTACATTGTGGAGACAGAAACACTGCCTAAACCACCAAAATCTAGTGTGGAAAGGCCAAAAATTACACCATCTTTAAACTCTGTAATGAGTATCAAAATAGTGGAGGTAGATGTAAAGCTTCTGGAGACAACTGTTTTATAAGTTCTGTTTACCACACTGGGAAGCAAAGGTTAAATCTGCAAAGCATTAAATGCCCAATAACAATTCCCTTTTAAGTGTTAATTTACAGGATTGATTTCAGGCTGTAGGAAACAAATAAAGCCCTTCTTCCCTAGAAGCCAACATCTCCAGCATTTTTATTTCTTATAAAATGCACCATGTATCAGTTTTGGGAACAATTGCAGGAAGTAAGTTTTAATTAACAACATGCTCTAAAATAACAAGAGCTGGTTTTATATCCTGTGTTTGCTGCTTCGTAGAGATTTTGGCTACAGAACTTCCTATTTTTTCCTGCTCAGCTCCTGTTAACAGCTTTAAAGAAAATGACACATCTCCTGAACCTCCAGCAACTTTCGCTTGGCTACCAAACAGCCATCTGATGTGGAAATTGGTTTTGAGTATCAGAGACTGGATGATTAAATCACTGACATAAGAAAATGCAAATGCCCTATTCCTAGCCCAAATTCAGAAGACCTGTCTTCTAGAGCAACTTAACCCTCAGTAAGGTGGACACTGAACATAAGCACTGACAAAACTGGTTCAATTTAAAATGCATTTTCTTCCCCTAAGAGAGGGGGAAGAAACTTAGGAAAAATCTCTTTCAAGAATCTGAGCACCAATTTTATCTAACTGTAGCTGTATGTAACTTGTCCATTGATTTTGTTAAGTACTAAATGTAATGCTATGGATTTACTCCTCGAGTACTAAATCTAATACTGTGGATTGCCTACATCCACTGCACCTAAGCATTTACATGTGAAACAGGAATCAGGAACTGCTGCAGCCTCCTGAGGTCACAGACGCTATGTCAGAAATGCTGCCAGGAAAGCAAACAGATTATTGCAACACAGCTTCAAAATGTAAAGAGGCACACGTGCTTTGTCACGTTTATTTGTACCTTTACATTACGTTTTTCATATTCTGACTTGCACATGCAAATGCATTCCTAACCATGCCGCTTTTAAGTGCTCCCTCATCCTCACGAGCATTACTTTCACTTCAGCACAGTAAACTCACAGCCAGCTCATCTCCATCCAAAAATCCCACTTCTTTCAAGCCTGGTATAAAAAGGAAGATACAAAAGCAATTTCAAGGGGTGGAAGAGAGATAAACATGCACAATGATACCACATCCTGAAACACAGGCTGCCTCCTGTTCATGAGGCCAACATCAAACATGCATCAAGTTAGTTTGAAAACATAAGCTGAATATTTGTGCATGCAGAAGTGGATTAGATTTAAGAATGACCTGTGGAATTTAATTATACAGGGTCCTTACTAGATAGTCATTATATAAATTAATATATACACTTGGGAAAGAAAAAGAGAGAAGTGTGAACTATGGGTTCATACATTAGATGTAATCACCTTAATTGCAACGTTTACAAGAAACAGCATGCCTGTCTGTGACAAACTATGGACACCTCTAGAAACTGGAGGGCAACAAATGTTAACTACAATTACTGCTACTCCTGCCAGCAGCATTTTCTTTGCTCTTGTTCCCACTTCTGTATCAACCCTGTGAAAGCTCTCTCACTAGGGAAGTTAACATTTCCATTACACACAATTACTACCAAGCAACATTAGCAGAGACAACAAAGGAAGAGTCTTCTAGGTTCCTCGGGCTTTTTCCCCAGCAAAGGAGTCAAAAATTTGTTTGCTAGTGAACTATGCCAAGGAAAAAGATTCTTGTGTCAAGGAAAGAGATTAGGTCTGACAAAGACAACTAAAATTCTCCACTTCTGAACCTCTTTGAGCTTTAGCAAGGCTGGACAAAATCAAATAAATCTAAAAAATGGATAAACCAGACAAAGTGGAAAAATGTCTACTCATCATAAACAAACTAGCACAGCAGGAAGCTGGCAGAAAGCCTTATCTTTCACAACTCAATTCAGTTCTGATATGACAAGAAAGAAAACAACACAAGCCCATCTGCAGCCAAGCTGGCCACCAACAGATAAACACTCATCAGTTTGAAGCATGGGCTCCATTTTCTTATTTGTAATAAAAGTTTTCTGCTCACTGAAGCACAACTCTCATTGCATATTTACTATCTCTAATAGGAAAGTAACAAAAGCAAAGCTCAGGGAAAAAACCCCACCATATTCTTATTTTCACCAAGTTGTTAGAGAAATCCTGTGCATTTTCATAATTCTCTGTGTCTTTGCTAAAATTACATGACACATTTAAAATGCAGGTGTGTCAGGTGTATACACTCTAGAGCGTGGTTCTGTGTTTGTGCGTGTAAACACTGTGATTCAGTTCTAGCCACCGAAATACTGTGAGATTACTGCAGACCAAAATTATAAACCTTCAGAAACAGCCCAGTGAGTGAAACAACTGACAGGAGTTAGTTCATCCCAGTTTTCCACGGAGTGTACGCAAACTGGATTACTGCAGGCATTTTTATCACCTGCTTTACAGCAGAAACATAGTTTTCCTGCCAGTGCTTGGGTTCATGCAGACTAATGTCTTGAAACAGCAGAAGGTAGTGTGACACGGAAAACGAAACAGCACAGGCTATCAACTTGCAGCTTGCTGCATCAACACTCTCTTTCAACAGTGGAGCTGCTCAAAAATACTTTTTTTTTCCCCCAACAATTTCTATTGATAATCAAAACTAGCAATACCCTTTTGGAATACCTGAACAGCCAGGCACCACCTTACCGTAATAATATCTGTCCTTTTACTCCCCAAAGAGTACTACACCCTGAGCACTTCTTCCTGAAGAGTCAGTAATATCCCACTAGTAAAATTACTGAAAAAAAATCCCACTAGTAAAACTGTGCAGGAAAGCTACCAGTAATAGATGATGTTACTCAAGTGAGGCTGGAATGGTGCTCAGCATACTTTACTCAGTGAACCAGCTAAGCTTCAGGAGATAAGATATTCCAGATAGTGTATAAAGACTCTCTTGCAGAGTGCTAACTCCAGAAAGCTTATACTCCTTTCTTAGACAAAACTCTTGCTTCATTTAATTGTGTTCACTTGATGAATCTAAAAGGACTCTGAAAATATTTGGAAAATAATATATTCACCTTAAAAAATGATTTAATTACCAACTGTTAGCATTATACATAATGAAAAATAACAGACTTGAGGGACTGTAGCTTAAAAGATTGTTCCACTGAATAGTTAACCAAGAAAAAAAAAAAAAATCAAGCAAAAACCAGACCAAAAAACCTACACCTTATACCCTGCATTCTGCAAACAAACGTCAGAGTACAGCAGTCAGGGTGGCCACAGCACCAGATTGGAATGCTCTGCTGGCGTCACAGTTTGAACATGGGTTTCCAGACTCCCACATTATATATACTCTAAATAAAGCACACACTGTTATAAACAGCTTGAGCTCATTCACTGCCATTTCCTGTTTCTTTCCCTTCACATAAAAGCTAACTTTTGCCAATAACTTAATAGAAAACAAAATTGAAAACAAATCCAAACTTAATAGCTGTTTTATGGCAGTAATGATAAATTGCAACTTATAAAAATCAGTGGGAAAGTAGGTATGAAGAGACAGCTCCTTGCCCTTTCCTACCACTGCCTCTTTCTTTCCTTGCCCTACTCCACTTCCATCCCTATTCTCTCACCTTTAGAAAGCACTAAATTGCACATGTATCAAAGATACCTCGCAGACTCACCTCACCTTTGAAGTTTTGTATTTATTCAAAATATCAGTCAGTTCGCATGAAGGGAGTTATGTGATTAGTGCCTGTTTTGCCCCTTTTGGTACTGAATGAGATGAAACAGACATTCAAATGGAAGAATCAAACCCAGGATCTAAATATATAATTTGTAGAAGTTAATTCCCAAGTCAGTTGTTGTTCATATGGGAGATCTCAATCTTAAATACTGTCAAATGTAAAAGAAATGCAAAATGCTTCGAGTGTCTTTAAGGCCTTTTAAAATATCCAAGTTTCCATTCCAGTAACATATTTTTAAACCTCCTTAATAGTTTGAATCACTTAAGTTGACAACATTTTGTAAGCCCTGCTGTAAACAAAGTTTTTGCACATCTATGCATTCATGACAATGGAACACACTGCAGATTTTGTCTTTAAAAAGGAAAAAAAAAATCCAAATGAACAAGACCACCTAGTTTTGAAAAATTAGTTTAAGCAGCCTATTTATTTCGCAAGTTTTAATCTATTCCAAGATTTGTTCCATGCTACAAGAACCATGTTGCCAGGGTCCT